AGGTGGCTATATGAGGATGGTTTTATATCTGGGTTCTCAGTTCTGTTCCACTGGTCAATGGTTCTATTTTTGTGCCAGTACCAAGCTGTTTTGATTACTATGGCCTTATAAAAGTTTGAAGTCTGGTAAATTGATACCTCTGTGGGTGCTATTTTTATTTGAGGTCAAGATGAAAATTGTGACTGGCATACAAATCTAAAGCCAAACTGGGGGTTGGGCCCCTCTAAGCACAAACACACCAGCGTGCAAGGCGGAGGAGCTATCAGGAGCAAATTTCAAGCATTCTTAAACTTTGTTTTTACTGATTTAAAATTTAATTGCATAACGACCAAAAAATATGGTTTATAAAAGACTTAAATCTGAAAATCTCTGACTTCCTTTGTCCTGGTAAGAGGCCAACTGTTAGAATCCTTCCCCGTGAGCTCAGCTGTCTGTAGGCAGCATTCTTTTTTTTGTTGTTTTGTTTTAAATGTGAGCCAAAGTTTTATCTGTTCATTTCTTGCATTTGAAGTACTCTTCAATGACATCCTTGGGCTGAGAATTTTTGCCAGTCCTTAATCACTACACAGCTGCAACCAACTACTCTATGGGTTTTTCCCTCTGTCAGTTTTACACAGGACTATGCCCCTCCCCTGGTTTCTGGTTGTCATTAACCTTAATTACATTGATATGGTGTTCACCACAAAGGGCCTCCACTGATGTGATATACACATGCTCATCAGTCAGATGCAAGCCAACAGAGATGGGCTTGGTGTGTGCCCAAGGCATTAGCAGCTTCACGAATTCTACGTGCAAGGCCACTGTGATGAGGACAGCCTTTAGCACCTCTTGTGAAGCAGCACTGACACCCATTACACCCCGAGCAGCACGGCCTTCCTCGGCCATGGCACTGGATTATGGGTGAAGCCGAACCTTGAATGTGCCTGAGCCTGAGCCTGAGCCTCACCTTTTTCCGAAGAGACAGGGTCTTGCTCTGTCACCCAGGCTGGAGAGCAGTGGCACAATTATACCATCACAGCTCACTGCAACCTCAAACTCCTGGGCTCAAGCAATCCTCCCGTCTCACCCTCCCAAGTAGCTGGGACTACAGGCACACCTGACTAACTTAAAAAAATTTTTTTTTTTTTTAGAGACAGGGTGTTACTATGTTGCTCAGGCTGGTGTTGAGCTCCTGGCCTCTAGCGATTCTTCCATTTTAGCCTCCGAGTAGCTGAGACTACAGGTGAAAGCCACTGCACCCAGCTATAGGCAGGATTCTAACTATTAGATCTGGCTTGTTCATGTCGCCCTTCCAATTTTCAGTCTTTATTCATGTTTGCCTGTTTCTGTTTCTAACAGAGGTATGTTGAAATATCCCTTTTGGATGGTGGGTTTGTGAATTTCTCCTTAAAATTCTGTTAGTTTTTGCTTTATTTTTATTTCCCTATATAACTTTAGGTGATGGTGTTAGGTACATTCAAGTTCCTAGTTGCTGTATCTTCTTGGTGAATCACTCCTTTTATAGTGACAAAGTATCCCCTTTTCTCATGACAACACTTGACTTCTGTTTGCCTTCCACTCACACAGGCAGCACTCCTCGTGCTCTGGCGCTGCCGGTCACTCTCCCTTGGTGCTGAGTGGACATCAACCCCGTGACTTCTGGTCCTTCTGTGTCCAGTTCCGGGGCTGCAAGTGGTGAATGTAAGGTCTCTTCTTTCTGGGCAGGGCCTCTTTTCTTAGGTGGCTACCTTGATGTTGTGCAGCTTAGGACAGTGTATCTAGGTGTGGATTTATTTTTGCTTATCCTGTCAGGAACATGGAAGACACTTTTAATCCGAGGACTCCTGTCTTTCTTCAGCTGTGGAGAATTCTCAGCTGTCCTGTCTACACACCGTGCCCCTTCCCATGATCCTGCTCCTCCCAGAGCACCTGTGAGAGGAACCTAGGGCTTCAACAACTGTCATCTCTTGCCTCCTCTCCACTCTGCGGAACGAACTCTCAGCACCACCTTCTCGCTAGCCAGGCTGAGCCCCTGGGGTCCCAGCTCGCTCTGCTCTGCCCATCTTTGGGGCTACAGAGTCTCCTGCCATGCTTCCTAACTCATTCTTTCTCAGAGCCACCTCTTTGGGTAATTTATTAGATAAATGACATCTTACCTGGACCTGTCCCAGACCTACAGGACTTACCAATTAAGAATTCTCACCAAACCGAGGAGAGCCCTTCTCTGGGTCCCCATGAAGACCCTTGGAGGACAGAGTCTCCCAAGAACCTGGGACACGGCACCGAGTAGCCAGCAGGTTCGCGAGTGTGGCTCAGGGTGCAGGGCTGAGGGGAGAGGGGCCCCCGGACTCTGAAACAACCGTGTCCAGCAGGAACGCGCACCGTGCGTGAGTCACGGGAAACTCACCCGCTCGTTCTTGTCGGTACAGAAGAGCCGCGTGTGGTGCCTCTTCTGCACCACGATGAACGTGATCCCTGGCTGGTAGTCCTTCTCTAGCTTGATACAGGCCTCACGGATGGCCAGTAACTCGTGGTGGAGAACCTAAGGGAAAGGAGGGGAGAAAGAACATGTTTACAGATTACGTTTTATGTTAGCAATGGGCCTAATTAAATGCTGGGTTTCAATGTCTCGAAAATACGTCTTGGGTTCTGGGTTCAGAAAACCCAGTTATGATTCCCACTGAGTGTGTGTGTTCTCAGGTGGTGAGAACAGAGAAAGGCAGAAACCTCCCCTCTTACGGGGAGGCCTGTGGTGCAGGGTGAGAGGGCCAGCAAGAACATTTCCTGCTGGAGGGAGCCCAGAAGGTTCTGTGAAGAGGCAGCCGGGAAGCTGGACCAAGAAGGTGCAGCACAGTAGTTGCCCCAGAAACACAGGCTCTGGCCAGGAAACGCCAGCTGCTCAGGGAGCGTCCATTCTGTTCTTCCAGGAGACCGTGGGCCTCAGAAGTCCCAGCCACTGCTTCCCTCTGGCCTAGGAAGGCCAATTTGCGTGTGCCTTGGCATGGGCTATCCAGCCTGGTGGTCAGGGCAAGCAGGTTCTCAAACACCTGGGATATACCCTCACCAGGTGTGGCCTGTGGGTTACTTCTACCCTCCTTGCTAATGCCTCCTGGGGGCACCTGGTGGGGAAGTGGAGCAAGGCAGAGGAGGAGGCAGCCCTGGCCGCTGGGGAGGGCATTCTGGGCACCAATGGCCCAAGTTCCAGGCCAGGATGGATTTATGACTGCCCACAGAGGTCACCGTGACCTGGAGGTGGTACAGGTGCTTTAAACCAAAGAGAACAAAGAAATCCCCTCCCTCCTCACTCGCCCCATATCTGTGATGACTCCCCTGCCCTCCCAGACATGGCAGCAATCCACGTGTGGCCTGCCACTCTCTCCACATCCAACGGTGGCCACACCCTGCTGGCCCCATGCAACAACCCTCATCCTGCCGCCCTGCACGAACCCTCCAGCCCGCACCTCACACTGCAGACAGGTGTCCCCCGGCATGACGGGGGGGCCTATCCCTCAAGGATGCTCTCCCTATACAGCTCTCAGCTGCCTACGAGGCAAAGCCTGGACTCTTGGAGAGCGCCTGGACAACCGCTGCATGTGGGCCCTCGGCCAGATGCAGAGCCCTCTCCCTCGCCTCTTGGTCCCCAAACACACACCCCTCTCTCCACTTCTTCCTCTGTCCTGCCTCAGCATGGTGGGCCCGACTCATGCCAGTGTCCAGACAACCCATCTCCCGTCTCCTCCTGACCCGCCTTCCACATCGTGACCAGATCAACTGTGGGGCAGAAAGTAAATTGCATCATTTGTTTCACTGGTCAACCAGGGAAGAGGTTCTGTGCACGGTGGGAATTAAAAATACTGGAAAAGCAGGGGAGAGGGGACTCAAAGAGGCGCCGACCTGCTGGAACTGGCCCTCGGAGACTCCGTCGCGGTAGAAGATGATGCGGGTCGGCTTGAAGCGCGTTGACTTGTAGAACTGGATGAGGAGCTCACGGACCATGGCGGCCAGGTCCTGGATAATCTCCTGCCGGTGCTGCTGCACACGCACGGTGGCGCAGTAGCGGTTGGGGTGGGCGTCCATGCTGCCCACCACCTGCGGGACAAGAGAAGAGCGTGGTCAAGAGCTCCTGAAAGCTCCCCATTCCGGGCATGTGCTGCAGTGGGGCCCAGGGATGGACACGAGCACCTCCACCCTGGACTCACGGCACAGGTGCCACAGCCGGCTATGCGCTCACCTTTCCGCTCTCTGTGAGTGTCTGGCAGGAGTGTTTATAAATATGTTTTAAGGCATATAAGTTTGCCCCAAGGTGTGTAATAAAAAACAGAAGATTATTCAGAACTTACTCTGCTTGTGATCAGATGTGGTTGAATTAATCAGTCCAAAGAAAGCAACTAGTGACAGTGTCCCTAGTGTTTTCAAGGTACATTCCTCTTCCAAAGAAGCCATTTGCACATCCACACACGGTGCCCAGAATTTTGGTCCCTAGCAACGGCAGAGCAGCCCAGAGGCAAGCTGACCTTGCATATAGTTGCCTGAAGGTGCCAACTAGGGAGAACAAAGAGAGTGGACTGGAGTCCCTTTATTAGGGGACTGGGCCGTGAGGCCTGGCCAGACCCTCCCTGTGCCTCTCCACCTCCTGGCTGGGGAAGGTGAATGCCCCAAATTTTGAGAAACACTGAGGGGAAAAACCTCCTTTTGTGTCACTGAAAAATAGAAACGATTTCTTGGCAATCTGCCTTCTTTGGAAATTCTTATAGAACTTAAGGAACTTCCCCCCAACTTAATTCTGTCACATGTTCCATGTCCTTGGTCCTGCTTTGGGCTATAAAATTTTTCTCTCAAACTGAGAGATAAATAAATAGACTCTGAAATGTTTCGAGTTGGGATAAACAGAAAAACATTAACATAAACAGAAATTTGCACCTAGTGATCAAGAAATGTGGGGAATGATGGGGGAAAAACACACAAATATCTCTGTTCCTGAAAACTCGAATAAACCAGGCTAAGCCTTTAAAAGTAGAGATACGGGTTGATGCTACACAATGTTTGTGCAGAAAAACAAAAGCCACCAGGGACCCGGTGAGGTGAGGCAGGAACAGGACGAAGGTGCCAGCCCTGTGAGCCGCTGGCCACCCCCACTGGAGGACCTGGCAGGCTGCTTGGACCCTGTGCCCTCAGCTGCACCCCAGCGTGCAGCTCCGCCCGGGAGCCCTAGGCGCTGGTCTTCGCTGACCGAAAGAGGAAAGGCCTGGAAGACGTTCAGTGAGATGAGAGATGCGATACGCACAGGAAGTGGTAGGACTGCAACTGTTGGGCCAACAGACAGGAATTACTTTATGTGACACTAATTTACTGGAGGAAGTGTGGCCTCTGAGTAACACCAAAGCACCTGCCCTGTGTTGGTTTTCCTCCACCCAGAGCAGCTCATCTGGCTCCCACATGCCCCAGATAGATTATCTGGTCCCATATTCCCTCCGGACTAATCAAAGAATAACGTTAACAGTTTCTGAGCATCTACTATGTGCCAGGCACTACGCCAGCGGCTTAACTACATCATTTCATGATAAGAGGTCAATATCCACTTCCTCATTTTACACAAAAGAAAGTTCAGAAATGTTAAGCTCAATTACCCAAGTGAAACGGAGAAAACATGGCTCAAGCCTATCTGAGGTTCAGGGCTGAGCCCACAGTCAGTGTTTTCACGCATAGTGTAGGGAGCTGGGGGTCCCCACACCCAAGGCTGTCACTAGCCGGACAGGCCCCCACAAGCAGGGGCTTTGGGTTCCAGTTTCTGCCCAGGCTTCTCTCGGAGGCGCTTCTGGCCGGGAGGCCAGGGGGATCTACAAGCATCCAAGAAGGCACTCGTGGGGACAGGTCCTGGGTGGTTCAGACTGATCACTGGAATAAAAGCCCGATGCTTCCTTCCCGCCACGTGGCTCCGTCACCACACAACACCGCCGTCTCCAGTTGGAGACAACTTTGAGTTAACATCCTTTGCTCTCTGCATTCCAAAGTTTAAAAACCAGACTATTAAGCATGCGTGGTTTGGTTCTGTCCTTTTAAACTAAAGGCCACGATAACAATTATACTGCCCCCTCTAGAGAACAATCACCCTGCGTCTTTCCACTAAGTGAACAGAGGACTGGGTGCAAAGCGCCACGTGCTTTGCCACTACCACCCTGAGTCCAGGCGGTGGCCCCACTCCCACCTGATGACGCTCACAAAAGTAAAACCGGGGACAGCACTACACTTGAAGCCAGCTCACACGCTTTTAAAAAGATTGCCTGGGGAGGGGGAAGGAGGGGATAGGTGAAAACCTACGTAACACCTAACAGGTACAACGAACACTATCTGGGTGATGGGCACACTTTTAACTCTGACTCAAGCATTACAAAAGTGATCCATGTAACCAAAAACATTTGTACTCCTGTAATACCCTGGGGAAAAAAAAAGATGGTTTGGTTGGATGTGGTGGCTCACGCCTGTAATGCCAGCCCTTTGCAAGACCCAGAAGGGAGGATCCCTTGAGGCCAGGAGTGCAAGACCAGCCTGGGCAACACAGCAAGACTCCATCTGTACAAAAAATTTATATAAAAAAAAATTAGCCAGGAATGGTGGCACATGCCTATAGTCTCAGCTACTCAGAATGGTGACGTGGGAGGATCACTTGAGCCCAGGAGTTAGAGGCTGCCATGAGCTATGATCACACCACTGCACTCCAGCCTAGGTGACAGAGTAAGACCTTGTTTCAGAAAAATAAAAAATAAAAATAAAAAGACTTAATAACAACAGTTGCCTTTAGGAAACTGGAAACAGGGTGGAGAAAGAAGGGTGGACTTTTAACTTTACTGTTTATGTTATATTTAATATATTGTAACAAAACCCAAAATATTAGAATGAGGCCCAGAATCTGCCCCACAGGCCAAGAAGCCATCAGGTGTCACGTGCATGCAGGTGAGATGAGCCCCTCCCAGCAGGCTGTCCATGCTGGCTGATTTGGTGGGGTCTGGTGCCATACTTTGGGACAGTGCTCACGTACCAACTCTCGCTGCTTCCTAGGACTTATTTGACGCCATATCTAGTGTCCTGCAGTAGACCCTGACTTTCCCAGCTGCACTTTAGCAAGCTTCATGCCTTTTAGGAAGGAACCCCCAGCCCTATTGCTGCAGCGGGACCTCAGGAGGGCTGTGGGTCCAGCACAGAGCAGTACGTCACCCACAGAGGACCCTGGAGAAAGTGCGGGCACTCACAGCAGCGATGGAAGGCTTCTTGCCGTCCCCAGCAGGTGGGTGAGTGACGTCTGCTCCCAGGAAGATGACTGGCTGCTGGAACACTGGAGGCCTGCAGGGAGAAGCACGGTCAGAGGCCAAGAAGGGCGAAAACCTGGACCTCTGATGACATTAGGTGCCATCGTCACCTTTTGGAGGTGGTAAGTGTATTGTGGTTATATTTTTGAAAAGAATCCTACACTGGGCATGACGCTCATGCCCGAGAGCCTAGCATTTTGGGAGGCTGAGGTGGGATGATCGCTGGAGGCCATGAGTTTGAGGCCGCAGCGAGCCACTGCACTCCAGCCTGGTGACAGTGCAAGACCCTGTCTCCAGAAGAAAGATAAAAAGAAAGAAAAAAGAATGCTTACCTTTTGACAGTACTACAGAAAGTCTCACAGACTAAATGATACAGGGTCTGAAATCTGCTTCAGCATATTGCAGGTTTGGGGGGGCCTGGGTGGAGTATAACCCAGACCAGACGGCCAAGGCTGAAGTCTGCCAAGGCTGGGGTTCAGGCCCATGAGGGTTCACTGTCCCAGACGTTCTACCTTTGTAAACACTTGAATATTTCCAAAGTGAAAAATTACCCCCAAAAGCCCCATGGTCTGTTACTGGACCTCCGGATGGCAGCTACGCTGACAATACTCCTGGTTTCTCAGCCGTGGCATGTCGGGGGCCGGGTCATTCTTTGTTGAGGGAAAAGTCTTCAATGGCATCTTTGGCCTCTATCCACTAGTGCCTGCAGCATCCCCCAAGTCCTGACACCCCAAAATGTCTCTAGACATTGCCACACATTCCCTGAGGGCAAAACCACCTCTGCTGAGAGCCTTTACCTGCTGAGTGTCCTAGTGCCACTTCCTGAGAAGGCGTCACCCACAATCGGGGGCCTCCGCCGCTGTGTGTTCCACAGCTCTCCCTGCACCTCACTTTCTCTTCTGAGAAATGGAGACGACGACAGCACCTCCCTCTGGGAGTGCTTGTGAGGGCGGAATATGCGCCAAGTGCTACCCCAGGGCCTGCACCCCCCCACACACACTCGCGGTTAACTCGCTTGTTCTTCCCACCTCCCAGCCCCTACCCCTCATGGGCGCCGAGTCTTCCCCCTGCCCTGGGCTGGGGAACGTGGTCATGGGCAGGGTGTCCGCATGGAGTTAACACCTGCCATCTTCCTGTAATTTTTAGCGACTGGCCAGTCCCACTTCTACCCTTTGGTGCCTAAAGAAATTTGGTTCTTCTGCATGAAGGACTAGAGTTATTGCCAGGAACTGGGAGATACTGCCGCTTCCGGAAAGAGACAAAGACAGCCAGGAAGAGGACTCTCTGCGACTGAATGGGCCGAGAGTTTGGTTTCTCTGAACACCAAGACCAGCCGAGGAGACGATCGTGTTCTAGGGCTGGCTCAGGACCTCAGCACACAGGGACTTGAGAGCCTCTTCCAGCCTTCCAGATGCTGCCCCAGGTGTGTGCGAAATCCCTGCCCGGGGCCCTGGCAATGGGGCCGCACCTCTCCTCACCCCTCGGTGTTCCTGCTCAGTGCCGTGTCCCGGCCTGTGACCCCTGCTGTGTCCCTTCGAGGTGCCCTTTGTTCCTTCATGGTACCTTCTGCTCCCGAGGCAACCTGTGTACCCTGAAAAGCTAGGGACCTGCCAGCAGGTGGGCAAGAAGAGCAAGTTGTAGGGGCACCGTGAAGTTGGGCACTCGCACCTACAGGTGTCTCAGAGCCTGTGGCCAGAACCTGCAGGGGACTAGGGAGGGGAGCTGCCACGAGTGATGCCCCAGGCTCCCAATGGGGACTACCCATGCCACGCAGCAGCTGTGGAGACGGCGCTGCACCCATATCCCAACTGCGTTAGGGTCAGGAAGGATGTCTGCACTTCTGATCACCTTCACAGAAGAAATCAACTATCAAACGTGCCTGTTTCTGGAAGCAAGACTCACCTAACAGCATTTCTATGTAAGGGCCTAAGTCAGATGCCACAACAACAAAAGCCGAGCTCTGAGTCCCTCCACTCAAGGTGCCATCACTCTGCAGCTGCCTGGGCTGCCAGGAGGGCCGCCCAGGGGTCCTGGGAAGTGCCCTTGGTGGGATTTCCACTGGCCAGCAGCTCTGGGGATGCATTTACCCTGCTCTGGGTGCAAGCACCATCCCACTACGCACCCCGGCAGAGTGGAGGCAGAAGGGGAAGAGGGATTTGTGTTCGCTTTATGCGTGCAATCCACAAGTCAGTTTCCACAAAAGCTATAATCCCCAGCATGGCTCCAATCACACCTGGGGGCTCCCGCTGGGGGTGCCCCACACACCTTGGGCAGCGGCTTGCTACTCCCTTCCCTGGCACGGCACTTTGCAGGCCCCTGGGTACTTCCTGCATCATCACTGTCACCACTGCTACTGTGTGGAGGTCAACAGCCGAGAGAAGGTGAGCCCCTGGACTGCATGCGTCTCAGTCGTACGAGCCACCATCCCCTCTGAAAGCAGTCAGACTGGAGGCTCTCCCCACCCTCCCCACCCGCGTCCCCAGGCACAGGTGTGACTCACTCCCTGCCTGTGCCTCCCCCCACCCCCAAGCCTTCCTTAAGGCAAAGCTCCTGCTGTCAACAGAACCCACTACTGCCCCCTGCGGGGCCCAGACCCCTTCTGGGCATACTTCACGCTGCCACGGCAACAAGGTCACCAATGACTTCCACATCACCCAGACCAACAGTCAGGCCTCAGACCTGGCCACACGGGGCTGATCTGCTGACCTCTTCCCCTTGGCTTCTCCTTCTGCCCCACACTCCAGCAGCTGCCACTGCAGGGCCTTGCACGACTGTGCCCTCTGCCTGGGGGTCTCTTCCCACAGGCATCTGTCTACATGCTTGCTCCCTAGGAACCTGCACTGTGCACACGTGCCACCTTCTCAGGAGACCCTCACCCTGCTGAGCTTGTCCCCTCCCCTACATTGTGGCTGTGCACCCGTGAAGTTTTGTGTCATGTATCACATCTATGAACATCTCGATGGGGTCCCTCCACCAGAGGACTTAGGTCTCTGTGCTCACAGCCTGTGGCCCAAGCTCCTTGCACACAGTACACACAGAGCCTGGTGACTGACAGAACAGCACTTCCAGCTGCCAGCCAGCTCCTGGTAAACCCTCGTTTATCCCCGTGAGCTCGTGTGAGTGAAATTATACCTCATCACAGAGCCAGTACCCGGTACCCAAGTTCAAACCTGTCTGACTCTAAATCTTTTCCATGTTATCATAAATTCAATAGAGTCTTCCCAGCTGAATTAACAGTATAACTCGGTGGTTCTCAAAGTGTGGTCCCCCGGTCCAGCGTACCAGCAGTGCACGGCAACTTGTCAGGAGTGTAAATCCTTGGGAGTCAGACACTGTGGGGCAAGCCTGGCGGGCGGTGCTGGTGCAGCACAAGGACACTAAGGTAGCTGAGGGTGGCTGGAGTTCTATGCACACAGGTGCTGCTCACTAGTGGCCATTTTCCTAGCACAGAAGGTACCCAGCTCATGACAGTTTGACTTGGGATTTGCAACGCTACGATGGTATGAGAGTCATAGCATCTGGTACACTCCTTACTGACGCAGGGTTTATGAGCTCACGGCTCCATCGTTGCTCAAGGAGCTCCTTAGATAAGCAAAGCACTGGCTGCCCACTGTACTACCCCTCCTGCACCCACGTCTGACTCGCTGCCCAGTCCTCAGAGCCTTTGTTTTTACTGCTGTCATCCACAAGTGAAGACAGTTGCTGGCATCTTTGAAAACATCTGTCATTCTGAAGACCTCTCTGTTTGCCTGCATCAGAGGGTGGTACTCTTGGAGGAGGGGCAAAAGCTAGCCTTGGCCCTGCCCTTGAACAAGGGGGTGCCACACACTAGCCCCAGGGGGTGTCTGAGGAAGGTCCAGCCCCATCACCCCCATTGGCCTCAGCCCTCTGAGGCGCTCCGCCACCCTTCCTGCCCTGGTCTGGGACCTGCCACCAGCGTGCTCCTATGAGGAGCTTTTCAGTCGAAAACGCGAAGTCCCAGCATGAAGCAGCATCTACAACCAGCCTTGCTTGTGACGCGTAGGGGATGCCCTGGTCTGTGCAGCAGCTGCTGCCCCGAGGGTCCACGAGGTGAGACAGGGAAGCCCAAGTTCTGTCCAGTGGGTGGGCCCCTTGCTCACTTGTGTTCGAGGCGCAGCCCCACAACTCCTGTCCTGGGACCACTGGCCCTGGAATGGGGGAGGAGACTCTTCTCCTCTTGTCCCGTCAGGGCCCTCATCCCTGTCTGGACACCTGGCCATGGACTCAACCACAAGCAGAAGCCCTGGTCCCCGTGGGCAGCCAGGCTGCACCTGACTTCTGTGCCCTGCTGCGTCCAGGACAGTGCTTGGTCCTGGTGAAGGGGCCCTGCTCCCTGCGCACCGCGCCCCCTCCCACCTGGAATCGCAGTGGAAGGGCTGGCCTTACCTGCCCTGGGGCAGCAGGATGTTGTTGACACCTCCCAGCTTGACGTTGATCTTCAAGCAGAGGTTGGACAGGGTCTGCGGCGTGGTCCTCTGCACGTTCTTCATCTGCACACACTGTGTGGCCATCCCCAGCACTGTGTCTCCCACACGCTTCACCTCGGCTGTGGGACAGGAAAGGCACACATGTAATGGCTTTTGCTAGCACCCCACCCTTAGCTGACCCCGAGTGGCAGCTGTCACCAGGCCCCCGCTGCCCACCTGAAATGCACGCCGATGTACAACCACAGCTGCCACCTTGGGCTTCTTCCACCCCTCCTCTAGCTGCGATCAGCCCTGGAGGGGGTCCCTGGCCAAGCTGCCTGGAGTCCTGCCTCTGCACTGCCACGCCTCACTCAGGAGGGGACACTGGGCAAGTGGATCTCACTCCTCTAATTAATGAACAAGACCATTTAAGCAACATACCCAGGGCCCCAGCAGGGATGGGCAGAGCCCAGCCAGAGCAGAGGACTCGGCATTCCTGAGCAGGAATGACACCTCCTAGCTCAGAACCCGTGGCTACAAGGAAACGCTCCAGTAGTTAAAAATAAAAACATTGGCATCCTCAAAATCCCTGGCAAATGCAAACCCAACATCAAAGAGCTGTGTGTGCCACCCCCTCTATTCCTGGAGTCTTTCGTGAAGCAACTGGTCAACTGCTCACTGGGAAGCTCTGTGGAAACAGTGACTCCTAGCACAACACTGGCAGGATGCAAAAGCCAATGGTTTTCTCTTTCCTTCTTTTTATGGATGTTGAACTTGGGAGGGGAGAAGTGTGGCCTCTACGTGTCTGTAATCTGTCACTGGTTAGATAGGAGATCATGTGGGCAACACCACCATGTCCTAGATACTTCCCTCTGCCCCACGGCCCCCAACATCACAGGTTCCAGTTCCAGTACCCCTCCACCAACACCTCTGGGTTCCTCCCGTGCTTTCGGCAGACTTAAAAGAGCTTTCACCTCACCGTGTCAGCATCACCTGTCTGCACGTCTCTCCCTCCTACCCTGGGAGCTTCCTGAACAAAGAGGCTGGGTCTGACTTATCTCTGTACTCTCTGGGGTGGGTGCAGGACATTTAAGCTGGATAAATGTGAACTGCCCTTTGGCATAAGAGACTTGGACCAGTGACTCTTATGTGGTGTGGTAGACAAGATGCCTACACAGCCCTGGGCTCTGTGCCTGAGGGTCCTGTCACTATGGCCCCGGACCAGACAATGAGGGAGGCCCTGAACACAGGCTTGGCAATGACCAGACACCACCTCTTCTTTCTCAGGCTCGCGAATGCACCCAAACCAAGCATTTCCTCAGCGCGGCAGAAACACAAAAGGCCGCGGGCTGCAATGGATACCCATGGAGACGCGACGGCTCCTACAGCCAGCAGGGCCGAGACACCTACCGTACACGGGGGTTTTGCCGGGCAGGATGACAACCACCAGCTGCAGGCCCGCATACGTGTTCTTCAGGTGCCGGAACATGGGCTCCACGCTGTCCGCGCCCTGGGCGTACTTGCAGAAGCACGGCTGGCCCTGGATGGGCATGCCGGCATCCCTCGAGATCTTCCGGAGCTGCTCGGTGAAGGACCTGCAGGACGAGGCTGGCATCACTAAAACGCACGGCAAACGGCAGAGAATTCAGGCCAACCTGAGGCCCTAAATAAAAGGCACGATTTTCATAAAGCTAAAAGCACTTTTATTGAGGTCAGTATCAAAGTTGTTCTTAACTCCTACATAAAGCCAGAAATCAAAGCTGCATCTCCTAAATCACACTAACTCATGAAAAAGCTTCAACATGCTCGACATATACACATTAAGTTTACTGAAGGTCACCTGTGGCTACTCTGCCACGACAAAACAGCAGACTTCAAATCAGGTTCGTGTTGCCTCATCGGCCGTGACACTCCCTGCACACGGTGACAAGATGCTGTCCTTGTAAAGCAAGGCATGGAGCAGCTGCTGCCCGCCCAGCAGCCTGAGCTGCCCCTCACTCGAGTTCTGGCGCAGAACAAGGCCAGGCATCATCAGGGCAGGAGGTTGGTTCTAGCTAGCTGTCCCTCTGGAATTTTCCCCAGTTGTTCCACTGGGCACAGCTTGGACTTGGATGACATAATCATGAGCAAAAACAAAACAGCCCACAGCTAGAGTAACACCAGCAGCTAGCAGCGGCCGGCCTTGTGAAGCTTGGGGTGGGGCACAGAGACAGATCAACGGCTTCTATTTTAAGCTGAAAAATAAAAATCATGACACTTTCTACACTAAGGGTGAGGCCACTGTGACTCCTCCCAGCCAGTTAGTGTTCAATTTCCCATACACTGGAGCAGTAAAGAAATGTGCGTGTGTGTGCGTCTGCACTTTTAGTTCTAGCTAAAAGCAGAAGGAAAGGCTCAAGGACAGAAGACAGGGTGGGAGAGACCCAGTGTTCACCTACTTCAACTTTGTTTCCCAAACCCTCTCTGCGCTTCCAGCTCTTCTGCCAGCAGCATGGACAAGGCAGCCCGACACGTCAGCTGGGAAAGCAGCAGCCTTCAAAATCCGCCCTTGCTGGAATGGCCAAGTACCAGCTCCACCTCAAAGGCCCTGGGGTCCTCCCTGCTGCCCCCAGCAAGTGGGAAGCAAAAGCTTTATGTTCCCTTAGAAGTTTATCTAGCACAAAATCATGAGCCACACTGCTGTGTGATTCCTGCCCTGCGGCAGGCCCGGCCAGTCCCGGCCAGTCCCATGCCCCTGACCCTGCTGAGGGAGGCATGCGAGTGTCTGGGTGAAGACAGCCCCCTCCACGGCACTCGGGTTCCTGGGGGGCTGGCTCCCCATGCGAGCTACCTGGGCAGGTGGCAGGGGCGTGCACCAAAGCTCTGTCTCTCCTCTTATTTTAACTACACCCCTTGCCTAGGGAGAGAAGACAATACTCCCAGCCCCCACCAATCCTCTATCCGACCATCTCTTCCCCATCCTGTCTTCAGTCTCTCCTTCTCACTTAACTTACACAAATACAAAGCTAAAGCGTTTTTTAAAATAATGTACCTCACTCAACCTGATTTTCTCTCTTGCCTCTACGTTTCAGCTCCTCCCTCAGACCCTGGTTTGCTTTGTGCGTGGTCCACACAGCTTCTCTGTGCTCTTTCCTGCGGGGGCCACGGTGAGGGACACAGGTATCCACGTGCCCTGCCTGCCTGGCCTGATCTTTGACAGGGAAACGTTGCCGGGCCTGACATCAGAAACCCACCCACCCCAAGGCCAGTCTTCCACGTGGTCAGTTGCCTGTGCCCAGCCCCCCCAGCCCCCCCAGGCCAGGCTGGTGCCGCAGCTGGCCACACGGGTGGGCTTACTTCAGATGGACTTCCGTGCACTGGCGCTGCGGGGCGAAGCACGCGATGGCCCACACCTTGATCTCAATGCCCGTGTGGAACTGCTTGTTCCTCATGTCCCAGACACCCTGGACAGGGGTGGCAATGGCTTTATTCTGCAAATGGTAAAAAGTTCAGAGTAAGAAAAAAACGGGAAACGTATTTCTCTAACCTTGGATTTGGTCCCTCTCACTGTTGGTCCCTGACCAACAATGGCTCCTTCTTAAGAGCAAGAACTACACCTTTGTGTTATCCCCCATCTTGACCTGCACTGCACACGTTACCAGGGCAGGTGGGTGGGTGGATGGCAGAGGGTAGACAGAGAGCTGGATGGAGGCTGGCCGAGCGAGCAAAGCGGGCGCGTAGGGGCTAGGCCAGCAAGGCAGGGAGGCCTGAGCTCCACTCAACCTTGAGTAGCCTGGAGAACAGGAGTACCTTGCGATGCTACAGGAAGGCTTTCTCTTCTAGAAAATGCTTTCCCTTGTTTTCATCCAGTGGCCCATGAGGCCGGCGAGGACTAAGCCTCAGCTGTGTCCATTCGGCATGCCACTGCCTGCTGCTATGTGAGAAACGGAAGCTGCTCCCACTTGAAAAGGGAAATACGAAGCCATGCATCTGCTTGGTTTTGCCGTCTCTCAACTAGAAAGGACCAGCCCCCAACGTCATCACGTGAGGAATGTCTGAATGGCCTTCGTATGATTCCCAAGGAGAAGGGCCAGGTTAGGAAGGGCTGGGTCAGGAAGGGCCGGGCGGGGGCACAGGGGCCACTGCAACCCCAGGCCCATGGGCCTGCTGGAGGAAGGACACAGCTGTGCCCGAGTTGCTATCATTTACTCTGTAGAGGCCTTTTTTTAAAAAAAAAAAAAGAAATAAAAGCTTATTACAAAAGAAATAAAAGCTTGTAAAAATCAGACGCATCGTAGAAATGAATTCTTTTGTTTGCTGTGCTTTTATAACTGCTGCCTGCTCCCACCAGCCTCCTCCTACACAAGACACACCCACCACGGACAGCCTGGGGCTGCAGCCTGCAGACACACACACGGTTTCAACAGAAAAGGGCCCTTCTTACAAGTGTACTTCTCGACCTCAGTGCTACTGACACCAGGGCTGGGTGATTCTGGTCGCAGGACTGCACTGTGGGCTCTCTGTCTGTCCCACCTACCCAGAGCTGTGATGATGAAAAATGTCTCCAGACACTGCCAGATGCGCCCCAGGGGGCAAAACCACCCCTGGCTGAGAACTCCAGCTGCACACATGGCTTTGCTGAGAGGATATTTAACTTCTTGCTCTAACACTGGACTAGGGGTAGGTAGGGCAAGAGATAGGTAATATTTCTTCCCAATAAAATGTTTCAGGGATCTGGAAAACTGAGCTCCTTTGGAAACATCACAAGCTCTCTTAATCTCTACAATTCTAAGATTTTTGCAAGGTTAGATTACACAAGCGATTTTGTTTTCCAGACAGCTCTGTCTTTGCTAAGAGGCAGAAAGCTGAGAGGACAGACAGAGCAGGGCCGTGACAGACGGCTGGACTTGAAGCTCCACCTACCCACGGGGCCACAGGCCTCTCACTGTGCTGGGCACCTCTTGGCTTACTCCTGAGAGGGAAACTCACGCTCTTCCCCCTGGGGTTGCAGGGGAGTTGGCAGATGCTGTGTTTGCACAGTGTCTGGGGCCTGAGGGGAGGACATGCAAGCTGAAGAGGGGCCAAAGGGCCTTGCTCAGAACCCTCCTACAGAGACCCGGGCAGCAACCTCTGCCCACCAACAGGGACACAGACCCCGTGCTAAGGACTGCTGAGCAAGTCACAAAAACAGGACTCGCATCTCACAGCAACACGGAAGGACCAGCAAGGTCTCAGTGAGCTCCAGAAGGAAACATTAAGCAAGAGAGAAGCGAGGCACAGAAGTATATTTAATATAATAATATTATTTGAACAAAAAAGGGTGAAAAAATACATGCATAATCCCTGGGTGATTTTACAAAGGAGAAAGATAACACCAACTGCTTCCTCAGAGGGCAACTAAGAGCTGGGAAAAAGACACTTTTTTCCCAGAATTCTTTTATATATTCTAAAACAATTAAAAAACAACTTATAAAATAAGAAAAAAACCACAAAAAGAGTAAAAGCTTGCTACAGGTCTCAAGGACTAGAGTCAAACTTCACTGGGTAAGAAGGGTGTTGAGTCAGGTGGAATCCTTCCACCGACATGGCTGATGAGCAAAGGCTGATGCTAAGGCCCCCAGAGAACCCCGGGCGTCCCTCCTGGCGTGGTCACCCCAGCCCTCGCCCACCTGCCCAGCATGCAGAGCTCTGTGCCCGAGGGCCTAGCCAGGAGGGAGTGGGAGGAGAGGTTTCTCGAGCACTGCCACGCTCGGCAGTCCGGACACCTTTGGTTAAGCGCTGATGAAAACCAGAAGTAAAACTGACAAAAACAAAACACAGAAAAATCCCAACTGCTATGTTTGCTAACAAATGCCCACAAAGCAAAAGCTAAAGAATAGAAAAACAGTACAGGCTTCTGGGAAGTAATTCAACACCGGCAGAGTGCCCATCACACGAAGAATGATGCTTTCTAAACTTTGACAGGATAATAAGAATTAACTTTTGAAAACATTAAGGATAATTCCGAAAAACTTTAAAAATGTCCAAGGAAAGTCATTCCTCTACGACATCCTAGGTTTGGCCTGGAGTAGAAAGAATCCCCGTACCCTGAACACGGTCCGCGCCGCGGGTGATGGCTCAGACATGTACCCGATTCCCACAAGCCCGCCAGCGGCTGCACATACCCTGCCCCCGTAGAGGATGGAGGGCGGCTGCAGGACCCGCCCGGTCACATCTGTCATCTCATCTTTGACCATGATTCCAAATTCACGCACGTATGGGTCTGTGTTGAAACTTGCACTTCGCATCTGGAAAACGGGAAAAAGCAGCAGAGTCAGAGGGGGTCTTTGCTCTGTCTATCAGCCATGTCTGTCCAGCACATGGGTCCCCACACCGGGACTGACACTCACCAATTTGCTAATCTCTTCTTGCCGATCGGGCGCCGACCTAGCAGTCGCTCTGATCATGGTTGAAGTCTGATTGTCCGTTAATTTTTTAATACACCTCTGTCCCGCCACTATGTTACAGACCTGTGAAGATGCAGACATGCGTCAGTACCGCACTGGGCACAAGCAGTGGCCAGGGCTGGCAGGAGGCTCTGAGGCAGAGCATGAGGGCTGCCGCCCTGGCATGCCTGGGACCAGGTCTTCCTCATCCACGGGCTGTGAAGCGCCCACAAATGCCAGAGGTGGTGTTCCATGGCCTTCCGGTTCACAACAGAAATCCCCTCTAAGTGACCCCAACGTACCACAAACAGATCCCACAGCCTCCGTGCCCAGCCTGCCAGGTGGGCAGGGCAGGGCAGGGCAGTCCCGACAACAGTTTCTGGACTCTGTCCTCAATGGATGCGAGTGTGAAACAGGTGAGCACGAAACTGGCTGCAGGTGCAGAGTCAACCTGCTGGGCCAGGGCTCTACCAGAACGATTAGAAAAGGTCTGAGAACCTGAAACACTGAAGCAAAGGAATTAAATGCATTGCCTGATTTCAGTGTTTGATCTTTTCCCAAGGCAAGGATTTTTCAAACAGTCTTGAAATTAGACAAAAAGTGAACGAAGAAACAGTGTGTTTACTGAGCACTTATTTCCTCATGCCAGGGACCTGCTGGGCATGTTATACACAATCTCAATCCATCCTCATACTAATCCTACAAGAAAGCTATGAATCCCGTTTTATTAAAGGCAAAACTGAGGCTTGACAAAGTCCACTAATGCACCCAAGGTCCTACAGCAGCAGAGATGACAACTGGACCTGACCGGGGCGTGGCTGTTCTCCATGCAGCATGGCCACGGCCCCAGGGCTCCCAGCCCTGTAGGCGCAAAGGAAGAGGGCTACTTGCCTCCAAGGGAAGGTAGGTGTGTTTCTGCTCCTGTCCGACTTGTAAACATGGGAGGTGGGGGTAGCGCAGAACCAGCTTGTGCCTGTCCTTGAAGTACTGGGCCACCGTGCATTCTACTGTCTGTCCGCTCTCCTGCTGCAGCGGGAACCTGGGAGCAGAGAGGCAGCTCAGGCCAAGAACTTGCCAGGGCACCATGGGAACAGACCGCCAGTGCCCACACACTGCACCCAGGGCTGCTCTTAGGTGCACCTGCATTTCCAGGGTGATGTATGGGGAGCAAACATTCAAAGCCCTAACTGGGAGTGAAAACCAAATCATATCTTTTGGATTAAATGGAATATTCCTGAGACCCTAAATTCTTGTTTTGTCTCTGGAGGTGGGAAATAAAAAATACCTACACGTATATAATACACAATAATCATAAATTACCCACCACGTCTACAGTATACGTAAAAGACTCGACAAACGAAGACAAATCCAGGAAGCCAGGCCTGTGCATCTTCCAGCAGACCACAGTGACCCTGAAGGTCATGTATATGCCAAGGGCTCCAAGTGCCCAGAAGACCCCAGGTGGCGCATGGGAACCAAGTCTATCACTTGCCCCCAAAATGAACACGTATACAAGACATCACAGCACTATTGCAGCCAGTCTAATTACCACATGCACCTGGATACCACACTGTGTTCTTGACACAACACGCAGCAGAAGGCAGAAGCACCTAGCAGATCAACCAGGGGGTGGGGAAGGGGCAGTGGCCTCCATCAATGCTCAGCTCTCTTCGCACCACTCCCCCGGCACCGAGGATCAGACAACACACACAAAAGACCCCTCTCTCACCTGTGAACTTTACGAAGGAAACATGATAGGGGTCCCTGTCCTCCCCGCCCACCACATGGGTGGAATTTCATTATTTGAGTTTATTTTATTAGGTGAAGTTTGGAATCTACTGAGCCATATAAGTTATAGATTTGGCATTTAAAAATAGAATGAGATGATCCTTTCCAGAAGAATCATTGCTCCAGTGTTTGGAAACCTGATTGATAGCGAGAGCTCGAGCCGCTAGGAGTACGAAAGCAAGCTGGTTTACGTTTGGTGGCTGGCGGGCCGGCGGGTCACGTTGCAGACGCGGTACTTCCTCTTCATCTGCCCACAGTGCGTTATCTCCACCTTTAGACCTGGTGACACAGAAGGGCAGGCTCCGCTCATACAGGTCCTGGCCGCAGACCCGAGTCACACGAGCGCTGGAGCAGCTGCAGGGCTCCCCCAAGGAGGGCTGACACACGGGCCCCCACGGACACCACAGCAGGACCCATCTCATCTACAGGGATGCCTCTGGCCTGAGAAACAGCTGAAACTTGGAACTTCCGGCCAAGGCCACAAGAGTGAAGATACAGTGGCCATACACACAGGAGACCACGCAGGGCTCAGCTTAGAGTGCGGGTGTCTACCCCAGGTGTTCTGTTCCCCCCCGGGCTCATCACTGTACCAACGGGCACTGCTGATTGTCTTCAGAAGGACAGCTGCAGTGGGCATGGCTTTTGGACAGAGCAATGGGCACCCACCATAGAGCCACCAATGGGCAGGAGGATCCCAGATGGGTCCTGCAGCCAGGGGTCTGCACTTGCTGGAGTGGAAACCAGACCGAATGGGGGCAGACACCCGCCCGGGTTGTGTGGGGCTTAAATGACTGCAAATGAAAATGCCTCACATTCTAGAACATTATGAAGTGCCAGTCACAACCTCGTCATGGCTCTCTAAAAGGGCATTTCTGGTCCTGACATTTTTTTTTTTTTTTTTTTT